TACACACAACACTCCTTCAAAAAGCCTCGCTATTAATCACCTAATATCAATTGCTCAAAATGACCAAAATGGTACATCACTTCTTAGAAACAAATTAGAATCAAATTAAATTCAAATCATTGCTACCTGCATCAACGCAAATCACTTAACATCGACTAAAACAAAGACCGTGATTTAAGAATCGCAAAGTTTTCGTCCCCCCAAAAAAACAAGAAAAACTTACTAGGTAAAAAGAGCGGTGCAACCGTGAGCACGAAGAAAATCATGACGAGTGTAACTGTCACTTTTCACGCAAACACCGTGTGTTTTACAAACCGGTCGCTTCTCGATATGTTAACACAAGAAATGTGAACACTCAGTGTTATACGGTCGGTGGTCGACTGAGCACTGACTGCCTCTGTCGACTATGTTAAATAAGAGACGACCGCTTTTATTTCGCTGTAGCCTATCGACTGTGCACAAAATTTAATAGGCGGACAGACGGAACAAGCACTCCGATAACCAGGTAATCGGTATATCGAGAAAGTTAGGAAGGTGACGAGGCTCGATGGTGATTTCCGATGACTCAGAAATCTACCATGATATCTGAAAAGTGCCGCTTTCAGAAATTGATACGGATATGGTTTCTGGAAGCTTGATGCTGATGGTTCAATGACTTCTTTGTTTATTATTGGGGTAATCTTGCAATGCGACACCGCTGGTGGGATAAAAAAGAGATAAAAGTATTAAATGTGTACGAATGTAAATGAGAAATCTCGAGATTTGCGTAACTAAGTGCGAATGGGAGTATAGACATCCGTGCGAGGAATTATTGGAATTAGTGAAGTGACGAAGGTTGGAGAATTTCGTAGGGCAAGAGTTAATTCGGAGAATGAAGATTTCGGAATTTATTATGATGAGGTGGTCTTTGATTTATAATTAGAAAATTTGGAGTTTTAGAAGTAACTTTGGGGATTTAGGTTTATTGTGATTTAGAAATTGAAGAGTTTTGGAACTTGAGGATTCAAGCATTTAAGAATTCAGGAATTCGGGACTTTAGGAATTCAAGAATTCAGGAATTTGGAAAATTAGAAATTTAGGAGTTTGAGAATTCAAGGATTCAAGAATTCGGATATTCAGAATTTTAGGAATTCAAGAATTCAGAACTTTGGAACCTTGCAAATCGGAAATCAGAAATGTGGAATTCCCTACTTTGGAATTCGGGACTTCGAAATTCTGGAATTCGGAATTTTGGAGTTTGGAATTCTGGAATTCCAAATAGTGGAATTTGGAATTTTGGAATTCCAAATTGTGGAATCTGGAATTTTGGAATTCGCAACTCTGGAATTCTGGAATTTGGAATTCCGGAATTCTGGAACTCGAAATTTTGGATTTTGGAATTCTGGAATTCGGAATTCTGGAATTTAGCATTTTGGAATTTGGAATTTTGGAATTCCAAATAGTGGAATTTAGAATTTTGGAATTCCAAATTGTGGAATTTGGAATTTTGGAATTCGAAATTTTGGAATTTTAGAATTCTGGAACTCGAAATTTTGAAATTCGAAATTTTGGAATTCTGGAATTCTGGAACCCGAAATTCTTGAGTTTGGAATTCTGGAACTCGAAATTTTGGAATTTGGAATCTTGGAATTGGAAATTTTGGAATTTTAGAATTCTGGAACTCGAAATTTTGAAATTCGAAATTCTGGAATTCAAAATTTTGAAATTCTGGAATTCTGAAACCCGAAATTTTGTAGTTTGGAATTCTGGAACTCGAAATTTTGGACTTTGGAATCTTGGAATTCGAAATTTTGGAACTTTGGAATTCTGGAACTCGAAATTTTGAAATTCGAAATTCTGGAATTCAAAATTTTGGAATTCTGGAACTAGAAATTTTGGAATTCTGCAATTCTGGAATTCGAAATTTTGGAATTCAAAATTCTGGTATTCGAAATTTTGAAATTTGGAATTTGAAAATTCGAAAATACGCAATTCATGAATTTGATAATTCTGCGTACCTGGAATTCAAGAATTAAGGAATTCAGAAATTCAAATATTTAAGAAGGTTATCAAGTATAAAAAATTTTCAACTTTTATCATTTCTAAATTAAAAAATTTACAAATTTAACCTACAAGTCTTTTGACTACACCACTTAACATATAATATTGAAAAATAACACCTATATAACATATAAATTATAAGCATATAATCAATAACTTCATTTGTATTAGTAGGTTAAAATCATTTTGAAGAAAGGAAGGTAGTGGGTCCTATTTGAGATACTTGTGGTACGTGAGCGATATACCTTGCGGTACTTTGACGCTCGTAAGAACTCATTATTGTGTTTTGGATGTGTCGGTTTCCGTTCGGTTACATACTTCCGCTTACGATTTTCCTCAACGACCAGGTTCGTCGAAAACCTTGGAAATTTGTTCGAATATTTCATCTCCCACTTTTCTTCTATTACGCTACGCGGCATTAGACGAACGCACAATAAATAAAGTATTATTGAATTATGTTCGCGATAAACGAGGTATCAATTATCATTAAAAAATTACAACTACATATTACCGACTTCAAATGATTCATTGTTAACCGCAAACGCGATATAATTAAACCAGCGCTTTTAAAACAATTAGACCACTCAATAAGTATCGATTTTTTCCTTCATTGTAACATTTAAGTGACACTTTTTAGAAAAACTCTTACCTTCAATTCTCAAAAAATTAATTTTGGTTGAATCAATAAGAGAGAGAATAAATTTAGACATTTTGAAATTTGAGAACTTGATCATTTTTAACTTAGATAAGTTTACTAGAGTAAAATTATCTAAATTATCTAAATTATCTAGCTTGAAAATTTGAAGATTGATAAATTAATAATTTAAAAATTTAAAAATGAACATATAACAATTTTAAAGAGAATTTTGCAATAACCATCGTCATTTAATAAACGTAGTAAATCTGTTATTTAATAAATCTATTACGAGTCAATTATTCCGATGCATTAGTTTTTGCATTTCCTCGTAAACGATATGAAATATCGATAATGTGCGCGGTGCCTCAACGAGCCTTCGAAATATTTGATGAAGGTCGTCTCGTTTGATACGTTTCGGAATAAAAGTTTCAATAAAACCGCAGCAAGCTTCTTAGACCCAATTTCACAAGTATTATGCAACGTGTATACGTACAAGAAACTGCTATTCCGTGTTAATCTTTCAGCCGATTTATTTGGAAAGAAGACAAGGGCAAAGGCGGATTCCTTCGCGAAAGGTCAGCTAGATAATTATTTTGGTACGACAGGAACAGGTCTAGCGCGATTCATCCTTTCTTTTCTCTTTTATTTTCCCTCCTTTTAATAGTTTTTTAATGCAACGTGATCTATTGTACGCGGAAGATGCTTGGCAAACTAGTTCCACGTGCTTCCATAAATTTAAAACGGTACGAAAATATTTCTACTTCCATACGGAGATTGTTTGAAGATTTATAACCGATGACACGTTTCGACTTTTGTTTTAATGATCGAATCAGCACTTGATGAGGTGTCTTATTATTACTTATCTCACTTGTCATGTTAACTTAATTTAGTTATTTGTAAAACATCTAAAAGTAACGATAAATATTTGAACATTTGTTACACAATAACATAGTAAAAAATTATTGCAAATATTCTAGGTACTTTCGATACTTACTTGACAATACATACGTGCACACTAGGATGATGCTGATTTGCTCCTGACAATTTTTTCAACGTTCTTTTTATCCTCCATTTTAACAACGAGTCAACGATTTAATATTTAACGAAGCTGTATGTAAAAATTATACTTAATTATCAATTAATTACTTAATTAATTAATTATACTTAATTATCATAATCAATTAGTTACATAATGTAAATAAAAGTTTCAGACCCAAAAAAGAAGCATCAGTTATATTCTATTACCTTTTCCAAACAATGTTCGAGAAAGATTCTCAAGTGTAGAAATCGAGTAGACGAAACTATAAAAGAAACAATAAGAATTATAACATATTCTGCTCAAATTTAATTCAGAGATGATATTTACTATTAACAAGTACTTTACTGATCCTTTAACGTTGTAAATTAGTGTAATTATAAATGTAAGTTACGATTTAAATTACACGGTTATCGAATATATCAGCGCTATCTACAGATGTCGCTAATACTAATTCGAGAATTAAAATTTGTATTATTCGTGCAACGAGAGATCGTATTCAAAATGCGCAACGCGGCTAACTTCAGTGGGTTCCCCACCACGAGCACTATCCCACTATTACACATTTCCTACTCCATCTGCTATATACACAGTGGACAAATAAATACAGTATACATTTGTTGCATTACTTGCAAAATTCTTGAATTTTCAATACTAGAAATTTGGATGTTTAAAAAATTGTACCTTCTGAAATTTGAGTGTTAAATTCCTCGCTAGTTTTGGAGTTTGGAAAACAGAAATATAAGAATTTGGAAGTTTCAAAGTATGAGAATTAGCAGTACTGGAAATTTGAGTGGTTTGCCTTTTGACAATTTAAAAATTTGAAAGTTCAAAAATTTGAGTTTGACAAATTAAGAATTTCGAAAGTTCGAGAGGTGGAAATTTGTGGTTTTAGAAGTTTAAAGATTTCGAATCACAGAAATATAAGATGGTTAACAATTTGTAAAATTATTTTTACACTAGGTATATGCTCTAAGCATCACGAAAATTGTAAATGCGCCTGCGTGTTGCCATTGGTTACGAACCATGCTTGAGCCAATCAGAGGTGACATGCGCAGAACGGTGGAAAACTCGTCGAATGATGAGTATGATTTCCCATTGAACGAACAATTCTTAGCTGTGCGCAACGCTACTCCAATAACGGACATATGTATATCATTAAATCCCGGAGATGGTCTCTACCCGTACAGATCGTGGAATAACCGTTAAAATGTCAGAATAACGCTTGTTGCGAATTGGCTTGAAAAGTCGACCAATCGAGGAACGTTGGTGAGTCGGTGGGTACGTTTTCAAGGGACTTGATTCAACGATTGAGCAAAGCGACGATACCAGTTTCACGCATATGTACATTTCATCGCCGTCGTCGTCGCAATAGTCGTCATCGTCGACGTCGGCGTTGATTGTGCTCTGATCTTAATTCTGTAATATCTTCAACGAGATCGGCAATTCGTCTTCGTCGTCAAATCGAATCTCACGAAAGTGTAGATCAAATTTCTCCCGTAACCCGAACTCTCGAAACAGCTTCGCAAGATAGTGACATCGTTATCTTTTATTACGGTATTTATAGATATAAAAAAGCCTATGGCGATTTTCTGAAGGGAAGAGAAACAGGTCTTGGGATAGGTAACGAAAAAGAACGAGTATTCCTTCGATGTTAACGCGCGCGGGCTTTTTTTCCGGGTGCAATTTACGGGTACGTGTTAGTGCGTGTTCGTAGTTACACGAGGATTATAAGCGGAAAAGAGAGGAGCAGCGGAGAACGAGAGTGATAGGGCTAGTTGAGACGAAACGAGACAAGTTTCGATAGTGAAACGAAGTGAGAACGAGAACGTTGATCAGGGGCCGCGAGGAGAAGGAAGGGGTCTCCGTCAAAATGTCGCTGAAAACACCAACGCGGATACAGTGATTGCTTTTCGTCGTTTAACAGGGGGTACGTGATCTTTCCTCACTCGAACATTGTTCTTTTTTTATCGTTCTTGCAATAGTCGTTCCCATTTTCTTTACGTTTAGAATGTACGCAGCCTCTTTGAACCTCGTAGAAGAAAAGTCCTGGGTACATCGATTGCGCACGGTTACCCGGTTTCCCTCTGTTTGTTTCCATCGGTCTTTGTACAACTTTACCGTGACTGTGTGCATAACACGCCACAGTAGCGGCTTGAGATATCTTGCATTCATATCAATCTCTTTGTATTTGTTGTATTTTTCGCTTCCTCGTTACGAAGACATTCGGCGATCGCGTATACTGTGCCGATTTCCAGGTATTCGTTGCCACTGTATTCGTGGCTTTTCTTCGCTTCGTAAATTTCTTTTCCTTTAGTTCAGGGTAATTAGCGGGATAATTCCTGGCAAGCTGTACTTTTCTATGGAACTTTATTTCGTCTTTTCAAAATCCACATCAATGTAACCTCTGCTACAAATTTTACAGAAGGTCAAAGGTAAAAAGTAAACGGTTATTTACGAATTTTGTGTGAGTTATCGGTTTTACGGAAAAATAGTTAGCATGAAATTTATAGCTCAGGAAATTTTTTACAAAATAGGTTGAATTAGTTTTTTTCATAGCAATTTTATTTCGTTCTATAACAGTTTACAAATTTTCAGATTTTGAAAAATAGTTCCACATTCCCTGAAAGTGACTAAGCTTACTGGGAATTATTTTACAGTTTGGTTATATTTTTATCTAATTTCTCTGGACTAATTTTGTGGCAAAGAAAAAGAAATTTCAACTCCTGCTTTGCATTAGTTTTTATTCATGCAGTTGCTAATCTATTGCTTCTTACCTTTTAAAAATTGATAAGACTAATTGAACTTGGAATTTAAAAAGAGACATATACCCAAGAAAATTTTTTAGGAAAGCTTACCTAATCTTTTCTCAATCATTTTTATTTATGATAATTTTGTAGGGTTTTGGTGAAGCTGAACAGATAAAAACATTAAAAATATGGTATCAACTCGTCAATCAAGTAGTATGGGAGCAAGTAATGGAGGTGGACCAGTCACTGAGATTACAGATGTAAATTCATCTAGAAGACATCAATCTGCAACAATGGCTAGTTCTTACACTGGAACATCCACTTCAGAACCACCCTCTTACAGTAATGTGAACCTCCTCAATTTACCGGTTGAAATTCTTGAAAAGATTTTCAGCTACTTGGATTATAACACTGTAGCCCACTTACGTCCAGTAAGTGAAAATTATAATATACAATACTATTTAAAAACTATCTAATGAAGTATATTTAATTTACATACTATATAATAATTTTAACAAAAATTCTTTACTGTTTACAGGTTTGTCATCAGATGGATCGTGTTTGTGGATCAATTTTAAATTCAACATTTCAGAAACTTCAAACACAGATGTTAAGTCGTTTTCAAGCAATTAAAGCACAGATGCCAAGACGTGAATCTGCACGCCGTAATCATCCATTAGCTTGTGAATCTGACATTATTGAAACTCTTCACATGCGCCTCACCTTGTTACAAATGAGTTTTGGCAAACACATTGAACGTAAACATTGTTGTTTTTTTCCTGGAGAGGTAAACGAAATTTCCTTTACAGGTTATAGAATTAAAAGTATATTATATTTAAGTGCATTTAAAAAATCGAACTTTAATTACAGATTTTAGATGAAGTTTATCGCATTTTACACTATATTAAAGTTACTCCAAAATTGGCCAGACCATATAAAGTTACAGACGAATTATTTGATTTAAGCACTATGGCCATGGAGTACTTTAAAGAACGTATTGAACCAACATTACCAGAAATTCCTTACTTCGGAGCTGATTTCTTAGATCTTGCTGGGACATTCTCTTGTGAGCAAACACCTCTGACTTCCAAATCTTTTGAACTTAAATTAAGTTGTATTCTATTACTTTTTTACATACTGTTATTTTATCTATATTCTGTTCAAATGTTATAGCCTCTAGTAACGTGAACAAACCATTTATGTGCCTGGATTCTGCACCTCTGACAGTTGGAAGTGGCAAAGGGGGAAACAATAGTGGAGAGGAAGGATCTCCACCACATTCTTCGGACGATCCCGGTCTCTTAGAATCTAGTGTATCGCCGCCACAATCTAACATGGTGTTAAGAAAACGGATTCGAAAGATTAAACAAGGAATGAAACGATATAATAGTCAGTTAACATTAATGCGTAGAGATTTGAGGAGTTGCAAAGCAAAAATTGCAGAGCAACAGAAGCAAATTGTTGAATACGCCACACGCCTCGATGAAAATGATAAGAAAAATGAAGAGACATCTCGCAAATTTAGCACACTCCTACAGGTATTTACTAAGGTACACTTAGTACACGTAAGAATAATGCATAGCAGAAGAAATATATTTCTAATTAGATAGAATATGTGCTGAACGTGTCTAGATTTTAAGACTGTTTTGAAATGATTTTTATTTCATAATTTTGACGATATAAATGTGTTCTGTAGGAATTGAACAAATGTAAGACAGAGCTTCAGTATTGGCGATCTAAGTCCCCAGCGATACCCGTGTGTGTAGTCTGTGGTCAGTCCATGTTAGTACCAACAGAGGATATACAGGCTTTAACAAATCAAAGCGTAATGCCCGAAACGCTCGATGAAGGATTAGACTTCATTCCTATAGCAGACGCCCAGAGTCCTACTGAAGTGGTTTCACAACCAACAGTTACACAACAGCCTTCATCGCCTCCACCGACAGTGGAAATGGCACCACCAAAGGCTCCTGTGCCTTCGTTATCTTCAAAACGGAAATCGAACGCAGAAGAAGCACCGAGCGATGCTGCAAAGAAACCTCGTCGTACAGCCAAATCACGTCAGGTTAAACGCTCGAAGATATAAATCGATTCTGATCATGGTACAAAAATATCTGTCTAACAATTTTACTGGGTTTTCGAAAGAGGTCTTTCTAATTAAAATAACTGTGTTTCTTTACGCCAGCGAACGAATGATCTTAGAAAAGTACAAAATTCTTTCCTGAACGTCCTGCATTTCGCGCAACGAACCTCATTTTGAAAAAAAATTATAGCCACGTTGGTTGCCGCGCGAAGGGAATTGACGCGATTAATTTTCCTATTTTATTACGGACGAATTTGTCACACACAGTGACGTCTACAAATATTCTAAATGATAGCTGATCATTCGTGTCGTTCGTAAAGTAACGGAGAAGCAACTTTCTTCGGGCCCTTTTAATTATTATTATTCTCGTGATGGTATACACAAGAATAACGGAAGGGTTGAATTTTGTATGAAGCGCTTATTTTACAACAATATTTTGTTATAAAAGTTTCATTTTTAACAGTTCAATTTATAAAGTAATAATCGCGTAAGTGCGGCATTTAGTACACAAGCAAGCAAGTTGGTATGGAAATTACTAAAACTATTTGATATTTAAAAATTTTTGTTGCATAATTTACTATTTATTACAATTTCAGTTAAACAAAAATTGCTGCACACTTTATTTTATAAAGGTAAACGGACAGCTATTGGTTTTATCTTTGAAGGAACTTTTGTACAAAATTTTGAGCGAACGTTAGACCTGATTCTTGCAAATTTTATTTTGCAGTATCAATGAATAAGTACCTGAGAGGACTGAGTGGGACCGGTTCGCGCAGGTACTCCAAGTTCATCAATATTCATATCAATTTTCTAATTTATCTAAATCTATTCAATTAAAGGAAAAATCTTAATTTCACTTTAATGATTTGTGTATACCATTTATATTATGAGTTGAAATCACGAAATGGATAGTGAAAGTCAAAGGCTTTGAAAAGTGAATTGCTTTTGCATAACGACATGTGATATCACTTTATTTTTCTGGTTGTTAATGAATAAATTTGTAATTAAAAAATTAATTTAATAGAGCAGCTCACCTAGATAAAATCAAAAAGAGTTTTAATGGTATACAAATTTTGTGAGCCTTAACAAAAATGCAAAGTTGGGGAGAGAAAGTGAATTGAAAAAGTGAGCAAAATACGTTGAATACCTTTAACGGGTGTTATGTTCTTTTTTTTTAACGCGCCATCCATCGAATGAGCGATTCACTTCGCAGGATGGTGTATATTGCAATATTAATAGCGCTAGGAAATTATTTATAGGATCAATTATTTATAGGAAATTTATTATCAAATTGTTTCAATGAATTTAAAAAAAAAACACTAATGTTTTAATTTATCAATCATATTGATTAAAATGAATGAATTTCACACCGCGTTCTTAAAAGAAGTAAAAGGTAGACGACAGTGAATGATTATTTTTTACTGAAATTAATCGAAAAGTTTCGTGTATACATATTATTATTTTCGCTTCAAAGTCGTACGGATTACCATGCGCGATGCTCGATGATCGGTCTGTATAGATTCAATTACCATTACACATATTATTTGCACCAATCCCAATTAATCTCAATGAAAAAGAAAATTGTAATTTGAAATATTGTGAGTTAATTATTATTCATGATTCTAGTAATAAATATAAAAGATACTGATAATAAGTAAAATGATACTTTATTATAAATATACAAATATATATATATGTATATATATATATACACATACATATATATGTATATATATATATGTATGAGTGCGGTACTTGCCAGCATGCATACCACACAGAGCAGTTTAGTTTAAACTTTAATGGAACAATAAGATATAATAATTAATTAATGATGAAATAATTATCGAAATATATATAATTTTTTATCGATGTCGAAAATAATTAGGTGAAAAGGAAAAAACCTTGCGAACGGACGGAAAACGAAAGTACGTCACGAATACGCATGCGTGTGTTGTGCGAGAGAAATATGAGAGTGTGATATATATATATATATATATACAGACACACACCATACACATATATATATTTAATATATATATATTAATTATATATTAAATATATATTGAATATATATATATATATTAAAAATATTAAATTCAAACTTAATGAGAATTTACGATGTGATGCTTTATCGATTTAACTGCGGGAAAGTGACCTTTATTCAAATAAAATACATGTGGGGCGTTTTTGGCTACGGAAAAAAAAAGAAACAGAAAGATGTATGAATTTTACTTAATGTTACGTTGAATAGGATTGCGGGGGCGGGCGTAACTTAAATCGCCGTGTCGGAAATTTCGAAATGCTTGCATCATATGCTTATGTCGCGAATAGTGGTGCGTTCTGACAAATTAAAAAATAAAGTATGGAACATAACGCGTGAGGAGATTCTCTTTGCACGAACATAATATCTAGGCCCCTGAATGTAACAGCATCTTGTACACTCGATCTTCGGAAAACTGTATACACGAATCAATACCTAAATGTACTCTTATGTACTCCCACTTGAATAGTTACATTTTCCAACGATACACGTCGCCATTTTAATTGTCTTACAAAAAGAATAGTTCACAGTCATTGGCTTTCCGACATTATCCGTCCCCGAACGATACAAATGTAGCATTGTGTACTACGTATATGAATCTACTAAGGATATACAATCGAATATAACAATGAATACACAATTTAGAAGTAGAATAATTTCCTAATTAGTAGTGCTGTGCGTTAAGAATGCGAGCACAGAAACGATTAATTTTCAATTTTCATTCATCATTAAGTATCCGAGGACCATGTATTCGTTCGCAGTATCTGCACTAGCAAAAGTAATGGTCTCCGGATCAGCTACACGATAAGCAATTACGAATGAAATACCGTGCGTGTACTTTAAAAGAAAATCACCTACACGAGGTTAAAGAACATAGGAAATACAATTGCCAGCGTTGCGGCCTGAAATGTCGCACCGCCGAAATATATGAGTTATCTTAAATGGTTTTACGTGTATTAAAGCGATTGTAAATATATATATTAGATACACCTTATAATAAACGTAATTTAACATAAAAACATCAATGCTTTCTGTTTCGATCGCAAAAAACAAAATGAACTCTTTCGGTTTGCTTTAAGAACAATTAAATTGTTAAACATACGGCTATGAAATTTATTTTTATAATTCTACTTTCTCCAATTGTCAAATTTAATTTAGATTAAATAAATTAAAATTTCTGAACCTTTATGCGCGACGTTAACTGCGATCATTTTGGCGGGCACTCTGCTCGTTCTAGCACAACCTTGACTTTCACTTTCGTCTGCTAGTCGAGCACGTGGCTCCGTTTGACAGTTTGTGTTATCTTTGTTTCGATAGGTGGCGACCCTGTTTCTCCCATCAGTCGACCATTCTCAACAGTTGCATTTCCGTCGAAGATGGTCGCATTCATATATATTAGTATTATTACGAAATAATTTTGGGATGTTTATTATGGCATCACATTTTTATCTTGTACTGCTTTAAGAAATATTTTGTAACTGCCGTATTCCGTTAATGTGGCATTTTATCCATCGAATCTTTATGGATAAGTGTAATCAGTTACTTGATATTTTTGGTGCATCATACTTGTTGCAACTGTGTTGTAACCTTTCCACGTGCGCATTTTAATATTTTTCTGTTTGGTTTTCGCGCTAATCCTTTACAAACAAATTGTTGACGCGATGGCAGACACTCTGCATAAAGAAGGATATGAAATATGTAAGTAAAATTGATGTTTAATTGTTGAATTTTATAAGTTTGTTCCTGTGTTATTATCATATCTTACAATATACAACAGTTTGATGTATTATTTGCTAGTAACATTTAATGTTGTAAACATCACTATTTTTATGATTGTATGCCTAATCTGTTTTATTCTTATGTAAAATTAGCAAATTTGGCAATGCGTGGTAGAGGTAATATCGGAGGAGATAGCGATATGAAGCTGGAACCGTCTAGTCCTACAGAGAAATATACATTTTCTCGCTGCAGTAGTACTGGATCAGTGAACACTCCATCTTCATCTGCTCATAACACAGGTAAGTAAAGCATAGGTAATAAGTTAACGTTAATAAATTATTTGCCTATTTTGAAACTAATTATAGAAGACGAAGACAGTGACAATAAAAATTCAACTATAAGTTACAAGGAACGTAGGAGGGAAGCGCATACTCAAGCAGAGCAGAAACGAAGAGATGCTATTAAAAAGGGATATGATTCTCTTCAAGATCTGGTTCCTACTTGTCAACATACAGATTCTTCAGGCTACAAACTTTCCAAGGCCACTGTACTTCAGAAATCCATTGATTATATACAGTTTTTGTTGCAACAAAAGAAGAAGCAAGAAGAGGAACGTAACGCATTGAGAAAAGAAGTTGTTGCCTTGCGTATCATGCAAGCTAATTACGAACAAATTGTTAAAGCGCACCAAACCCAATCGGGACATGCAGAAATGCGTGTATCTGATGAGACCAAATTTCAAGTGGTACGACTAAAAATCAATTGATTTTGTAGTTGTTTCCTGAAAGATTTAACATTTCTATTGTAGCATAACATGTGCTTTGTTATAGTTCCAGGCAATCATGGATCGTTTGTTCCAAACATTTAATAACATTTCTGTAGCAAACTTTGCAGAATTATCTGGATGCGTGTTTAGTTGGTTAGAAGAACATTGCAAACCTCAGGTAAGTAAATCACATTTCAAGTTATTGCAGTTCTTCTCTTGATGGGTTAATATATGTGTTAAATATTTCAGACATTACGTGAAGTAGTACTATCAGTGCTTCAACAGCTCAACAACCAAATCAGCTAGTCGAATATATTATTAGATGATTCGTGATTGCACAATATGTCTACAAAAACATTTCGCGGGTACTTAGACCAATCAACAAGTAGAGTTACCAGGAAGGATGGAAATACGTGTGTTATATGCAGTGCGGGTAGCATAATGATTGTACGAAAAATATAAATAAAAATTTATTTTATATACTAATATAGATGTAGATGTAGCCATGGAACGTGGCTTGCCGTTTATTGGCGAGATGTTAAATATTTTTATCAGAGATTTTTTTATTACATAAAATTCGCTGCATATATATGATACATAACATATGTATATATGTATGAATGTATTCGAATATGTACATAATGCATTGATTTGCAACATAGCAATTTGAAATAAAAGTTCAACTATTTCTGTTTATGCTTCGTATTTACAGTCACTAACGGTGAAAGACATCTTCTCATTAGCAGGTAATATTTTATATCGAAGTTTAAACTTTCTCAGATTCCGTAGGCATACTTTCTCCTTGTGTAATATCGTTCATGAGCATGGTATCCATTCTGGGTCGGTTTGGGTCATCAGGTTCATGGTGAGGACTCTGAGGACGTCTTCTCTTGGACCTGTCTTCGGGTCTACAACATAGATCTCGAAAGATACATGCGTAACAGGCCAGCAGTGCGCTCATCATCATCAAACCTCCAATCGCAAGGATGACCACTAAAAATATCGATATTTCGTCCCTCATATTATCTCCTGATTGTAATCTTGTTAGGTAACGTTCAGATCTGAAAAAGAGAATATCTTTTTAATATGTTATTGAACTGAATTGTAAAGAAGGAAAGCTTCATTAGGAAATGTTTCAGGACAATTTTGTGATAATAGTTTTTATAGTAAAATTGTTAATATTTTTTGTCTAGTAATTAAAATAATTATTTAACGTGTTGTATCACAGTGTCCTTTAGATCTTCGACATCTGCCTACATAAGATATAAAAATCTTCTCTTAAAAAAAGATGGAGATCTATTATTGCAACGATTATTCTGCAATCACGAATTCAATCTAAATGTAAAGAGATTTTTTATTCTTGTATGAGAAATTGCGCTCTCCTTGAAACGAGGAGTTCTTGGAAGCGAAACAGCAGAATCAATCCACTCTTTCTATAATCCAATTTATTCCTCTCTAGTCACGTACGTGTGAAAAATCGTTGAATGGATTGTTCAATAGTATTCTGCAATCGAATGTCATTTGCGGAATGAAATCTTGTTCCCGCTTCCGCTTTTATGAAACAATCTTCAGTGCCAACAAAATCGAGGGGAGTAGAATCTGATTGCAACTTTCCATACTTTTTATTCTCGCCTTACAGCGGAAGCGATTTAACGGCGAAACTTTTGCTTCGATATCGTTTAAAACTTGCTGATGGATATCGAGTGTAATAAAAATTGAGTTTCTTTTGTTATTTGTAATAAAATCATTTCTTAGTTTGATTAGCTCTTTTAGAAGATAGCTCTTTCAGCAGGTAATCTTTTGGTATAAAATGTATTATAAAGGTTTTTCTATAATGTGTGATGTATAAAGCGATGATGTTTGCGTAGTATATTCATGTATGGTGTTGAGTCTAATGGACGTGCGAGAAGGGTTGTCGTGGATTAGAACAGCTTTGGTAGTCGATAATAGTTAGGCTGGAAACTATTTTGAAACTATTGTACAGTCTTGGTAAAATCTTTATGAAGATCTCTTCAAATTTAAAAACTTGCAAACTGAAAAATATGGAAAGGTTGAAATATTTGGATGAATTGAAAATTTTGAATTTCAATGAATAAAAAAATAAAATTTGTCACTTAACAGAAATGTATACTTTTATTAAAAATATTGCAATTGCGTGTATATTTCTGTAAGCAATATTAAAGAACAAAATTCGAGTACTCTATTAAACTGAACAATTCATAAGTAAAATGCTCTTTAATGTTTCATAATATTAGCAAAATAATATCCTGTTTATGCTTGAACCGGAAACATGTACATCCTCTCTTCATCTTCTCTTGAAATTACAAACTTGTACACATATATGCTATATACAAGCTACACGTAAATACGTCAGGTACTTCATTAACTCGGCTCTTCATCTCATGTAGTATCGATTTGCATTCCAATTTCGAAAATCGTGACAACGGAAGCTACTGTCTCTTCACTGGTTTTCATTCTATCACACGAAATCGATTATTATCAAAGTAATGGATGTTAAATGCAAACAATGTGTTTTGAATATTCAATACTAAAAATTATGGATGAACTTGTTAATTATAAAAATATATAAATTTGTGAATTGTAAAAAGACTGCATATATGAAGGTTGTAGAAAATAGTATGTATTAAATGTTAAATACAAAAAGCTATACATAAACTTGTAAATTATAAAAATATATAAATTTGTAAATTGTAAAAAGATTACAAATATGTAACTTATAGAAAACAATATAAATTAAGTATTAAACACAACAAATGATAGATGAGCTTGTAAATAGTAAATAAATATGAACTGTAAATTGTAGAAGACTGTAAATATGTGCACATGAGATAATATTTACTATAATTTTGTATTTTTTATATGAAAACTGACAGAAACAATGAAGTTTACATATGTGTTCATGTGTGTAAGTGTGAATATGTGCACATAAGATAATATTTACTGTGACTTTGTATTTTTTATATGAAAACTGACAAAAACAATGAAGTATATATGTGTTCATGTGTGTAAATGTGAATATGTGCACATAAGATAATATTTACTGTGACTTTGTATTTTTTATATGAAAACTGACAGAAACAATGAAGTATACATATGTGTTCATGTGTGTAAATGTGAATATGTGCACATAAGATAATATTTACTGTGACTTTGTATTTTTTATATGAAAACTGACAGAAACAATGAAGTGTACATATGTGCACAAGTGTACAAATGTAAATAACTTTGTATTTTTTATACAAGAACTCACAAAAGTGAGTCCTCTTCAAAACAATAAGAAATGAAGGTTCAAATCAACAACTCAATATTTTTATCCCAATAAAAATATTCATCCAAACTGATTAAACTTGAAAGTGTCAATGCAATATAGCAAACTGCATATACAAATTATCGTCATCGTCGTCGAAACGTTTCAATGAATTTTTCACGAAAGATTACGTTCGTTCGAGCAACATGGAAATAAAATATCGCGTAAAAAAGAGAGAAACAGCGACGCCTTGCTTTTAATAATTCACAGACGAGCGAATGGCACGGCAATACGAGGAGAGGAGCGATAACATGGAGCAATGCGTCTCGTAACGCAATAACCGGTGCAGATAAAATATGCAGCGCCTCGACGTTTCGCAAAAGTCTCATTTCCATAAGCCCACTCTCCATTTTCCGTCTCTTTGACGCGCCAAGCATTTTTGCAGATTAAATTGACATCGAAATGCCCCTTTTGATGTTTATTAAACGCGTTAGAATACGTAATATGGAGTTTTATGTTCTTTTACTTTATTTTTATGAAGATGTGTGTTTGTGGTTTGTTAATTTTAGTGTGCAGAGGGATATTTTGAAATTTTTTGTGGGGGATTCATTATGTATTATTTTAAATTGAAGGGTCAGAATGTTAGGGGTTGGAAATTTCAAGGTTTTAATGTTTTAAAGTATTGAAGGTTTAATATTGTGAAATTTTGGAGTATCAAAGTTTCTAAATTGTGGATTGCAAAGTGTAAAAATTTGAAAATTTCAAGGTTCTAAGATTGCAAATTCCTAAAATCTTAAAATTATAGTTTGAAGATTCGAAAGTATCAAGTTTTAAAAATTTCTGAATTCTAGCGATACAAATTCTTAAATTTCAAATTTCCAAAATTCCCAAAATTTCAACGTTTCAAATTTCTAAAGTTTCAAATTACTAAACTTCCAAAATCCCTAAAGTCCCAAAATTCCAATGTTCCAAACATCTAAATTCACAAAATTCCCAAAATCCTAAAGTTTCAACATCCACATTTAATAAAGTCCCAAAATTGCAAGGTTCCAAATTTTTAAATTCATAAATTTCCCAAAGTCCCAAAAATCCAACGTCCCAAATTTTTTAAGTTCCAAATTTCTAAAGTCCTAAAATTCCAATGACCCAAATTTCTAAAGTCCCATAATTCCAACGTCCTGAAGTCTTAAAGTTCCAAAATTCCAAGGTCCCAAAAATCCAACGTCCCAAATTTCTAAACTCCCAAATTTCCAAATTCTCAAATGTTCATTTACTACCCTAAGCAGCTTCATGCGCAGTCCGTCCGATGGAGCTTTTTGAATATTTAATTTTGCGCGGGAAATACGAAAGAATTGAATTTATTGTACTGTGACTTCAAATATAAAAGACAGACAATCTTCATGATACGTCATCATACTTTTGAAGAGTTATAGAAATTTTCTACTAAAACTTGATGAATAAAAATTAAATTATTAATAATTAGTGTTAATGGTGGTGATTCATAATAAGTTAATATTATTATTGTTATTACTGATATATTAGTTAATATATGTATATGTTAGTAATATTGTATATTAATAATATTGTACATGTTCATATATATATGTAGATATGCATATGTAACTACATATAATGCATATATAATACATACACTGTATATGTATACATACATATGCACATGTGTATGCATATGTAGATATGTGTGTTTACATATTTACATGTATATATACATATGTATGTAAGTATGTGTATGCATACATATGTACACACATGTGTTTGAATATTTACATATATAAATACATATGTGTGTGCACATGTGTATGCATATGTACATATGTGTGTTTGCATATTTACATGCACATATACATATGTATGTAAGTGTATGCTTATGTATATATATGTGTTTGCACATTTACATGTATAAATACATATGTGTGTGCATATGTGTATGCATATGTACATATGTGTGTTTGCATATTTACATGTACATATACATATGTATGCAAGTGTATGCGTATGTATAATATGTGTTTGCATATTTACATGTATATATACATATGTATGTAAGTATGTGTATGCATATGTACACACATGTGTTTGAATATTTACGTGTACATACACATATGTGTATAAGTATGTATGTATAATAATAATATTAAAGGAATACTCATATAGAAATTAATCATTAATAATTTCAATTAATACATGCAAAACAACAAAAATAATATTAAATCTACGATTTATATTAATAACGTTATCCGATTAACGATGTTATCATCGATCATATGATTATTTTTAATAAACGTTCCCGCGAATTTAACGTTATCGGATCAGCCTTAATAACATTATCAGTTGAATAATTATCATCGACCAACAAGAATAATAAAGTGACGCAATATTAACAATACCGATAATAATCGCGTCAAATACAATTAATTATACGACAACACGAAAATTCAACTGTTCCCAACACAAATCTATTTCACGCGATACGAGAATGTAATAACGGCATAACGACGACATAAAATATCAGCGACATTTTAATTAAACCGTCGAAACCGTAATCAAGTTTCAGAGTTTCGTTAACAAGTGGCTATACATATAATTCCGGAGGAAAATAATAATTGGAAAATAAGTTTGTAGTATCTCGTTAAAATTCGTAATAGAATGAGAGATTCCAGCTCTCGTAACGATGCTTTCGTTTTAATATCGAAACGAGGAGCGTTTCTACGGTTATTGCGAATCAAAGTGAATGATTAATCGTGCAATATGACGAATCCATATACGAGTTTTACCTTAATCGCTGCTAATATTCTATTACCGATATCAAGCTTCATATTTCACCTTTGAGTCTATCATTTTAATTTGAAATATTTATTTGATGAAATATTTATTTGAAATATTTATTTGATTAAATGAAACATCTTTCATTTTGAATATTTCATTTGTTAAATATTTTTTATTTTAACTATTTAATATGTGCAATGTTTTTAATTTTAAATATTTAATATGTCAAATATTTTTGATTTTAAATATTTAATATATGCAATGTTTTTCAATTTAAATATTTAATGTGTAAAATATTTTTGATTTTAAATATTTAATATGTACAATGTTTTTAATCTTAAATATTTAATATGTTAAATATTTTTGATTTTAAATAAATGTAATATTTTTAATTTCAAATATTTATTGTACAAATTTTTTTCCAATTTTAAATATTTAATATATAAAACATTTTAAGTTCTCATTATGTAATGTACAAAATATTTCTTATTTTAAATATGTTATATAAAAAATAGTCTCAATTTTAAATATTTAATATATAAAATATTTTAAGTTCTCATTATGTAATGTACAAAATATTTCTTATTTTAAATATGTTATATAAAAAATAGTATCAATTTGAAATATTTAATATATAAAATATTTTCAATTATATTTATAAAATTATTGACTATTTTTATTTACAAAATATGCTCAATTAATAAATATTTTTAATTACAAAATGTTTAACCCATTCAATTTTCTTAATTATCAAACATAAAATATATGAACATCTGAAAGTAAAATTTGTCATTAATAACAGTGTTATCAAATGTTTACGAAAGTATCGTTTTAATTAATTAATTTCGAAAAGCAGATGTTTGCCCTGTAATTATCGAGTGACCCTTCGTTGTAATAAAAATAGCCATTACTGAAACAAGGTTCTAATCTACTCGTAGCAAGAATATCATCAATTAAGTTTAATTAATCAATCATCCACCACCTCCTAAACAAATTTACTCGCCAGAAGGACGTACATGGAATCGCCTAA